AAAATAACCACCTCTTTAATCCATTCCTTCCATTATCTTGGAATCTATATCTTAGTAGAAAAAAATAAGATTAACAACACACTTTTTTAGTTAGATCTGTTGTGAAATTGGCTTCAATAATACGGTTTATCAAAAAATGCGCATATACAGAATCAGACTTACATTTCCAACAGATGGAACTACAAGAATTTAAGAAGTGTAGTAGAGGAAAAGGTATGTTTTATACAATCTGAATGTAATACTATCCTCTTAAGGGTCACTGAGTTATTTTCAGGCTCACTGTCACTCTTGACCCCACTCTGAAAACCCAACCCCTGCTGACACCATTGTACACTTCTGGTCAGAGAAAACTCTCTCAATAGTACCAGAAAATGGACTCACACACAAGTTATAGTAAACTGATACTTTGTGAGTAAAGGAAAAACTACTAAGGAATAAGGCTGGCTCACTTTGGGCCCTCAGAAGCTGATAACAAAGTTCAAATCTGAGATGAAAAAAGAGATAGGAGGCTAAAGTCTCTTTAACTGAAGTAAAAGATCTATTTGCACTTGTTGGGGTCCAGTTCATGCACTACAAGAATTCAGATCTCCTTGGTTGCAACAAGTGGAAGTCCCTCAAAAGGATTTATGCAAGCACAGGCACTATCCCTTTAAGGGGTATTTAACTTGGGCAGTACCCCCTTTAAGGCACAAGATAAAGTTATTTTTTTAAGGAAGAGGTTTAAGGGGTGCGCAGAGGCAATTGTTACCAATAGGTTAATTCCTATCTAGGTTGCAGTAGAAAATGGCAACAATGACAAGTGTCCCTTGACGGATGTAAGCCAATTGCAGAGGAAACAGTGGTGTGGCTTAGCCCACAGATGGCAAACACTGCAGTAGGCTCTGGTGACTGAATGATGTGGGAGATGTGTTTATTAATTGGCCGGGTGAACTAGGCCTCGACTTGCATAACTGGTGAACAATGTCAGTAACTTTATAGAGAATGACTGATGCAAGAGAATGTCAGTGACAACTTAACTGGCTGGAAATTGGGACTCTCTCACCCAATCTGTGGCATCAACCGAGTTGCTGGTGGTCTCACTGTAGGGGCCCCCAGCAGTTCCTCCTGCAGAGTTTGTTCTACAGTGCAGCACTCCAGGTCAGTGGCCGACAGGGTAGTTCTCCAAACTCTTGGCGATGTAAGCAATCAGCCATTCCTCCCTCTTTCTCTGCTCTCTCTCTCTCTCTCTCTCTCTCTCTCTCTGCAGACTGGCCCAGTCCTCTGGCAATCCACACAGCTCCCTCCTTACACCTTCCTTAGAGCTCTCCCCCAGCTCACTTCTTTCTGTTCCTGGGCTTCTACATTTATATGCCTCTGCCCACAAACCAGCTCTTCTGGGATATGTAGTCCCCCAATTAGCAGCCTTCTAACAAAGTCCTGCAGTTCATCCTAAAAAATCCATAAAGCTTTTCACCAGGATGTGTGTCACTGAGTTGTTGGACACTGCCACCTTGTGTGTCAGGAATGGACTCAGCACTGGTGGTGGGACTCACCTGCCGTGTGGGCTGCAGTACCAGGGCTGACCAGCGGGTGCTCTCAGCAGCCAGAAGCTCACTTCTGCAATCAGCCAAACCTGGGGCTGATTGCAGAAGGTGTATTTAAGGGATGGCCAGACCTGCAGTCTGGGCCTTGGTGTGATGTCAGGAATCTAGGAGTGACCAGAAAGGTGTGGACTGACACAGGGAAACGCAGGCCTCAGGTACAGTATAATACAGTTTATTATTAGCCACCCAGATATATATATATCTATATATCTGGGTGGCTAATAATAAACTGTATTATACTGTACCTGAGGCCTGCGTTTCCCTGTGTCAGTCCACACCTTTCTGGTCACTCCTAGATTCCTGACATCACACCAAGGCCCAGACTGCAGGTCTGGGCCATCCCTTAAATACACCTTCTGCAATCAGCCCCAGGTTTGGCTGATTGCAGAAGTGAGCTTCTGGCTGCTGAGAGCACCCACTGGTCAGCCCTGGTACTGCAGCCCACACGGCTGGTGAGTCCCACCACCAGTGCTGAGTCCATTCCTGACATTGTGTCTCTTTTAACATCCTGCAGTCTGAATAATAGCAGGGTGTTACATGAATATTAGATTGTATAACATTTCTGAGACTGAAAGGCCAATGTTACTGAAGTTATTAAACTAGTATTTAAATTTAGTTTCTTGAGGAAATGTTGTGTTTGGCTCTGTTTACCATTTATTAAGATATTTGGTTGTAGAGAAATCTAAATCAGAAGCATATACTGTAGATGTTAGTGAATAAATAAGTCACGTCTTTTTTTAAAAAAAAAAGTACTCAACTTTATTAAATGGTTGGGATAGGAAGTAATTACTCCACTTTTTCTTACATGATTAGTAGTATACTTATAATTCATCTCTGTAACCTGGATACAATGGGAAATACTTACATTTTTCAATATGACATGTTAAACTTTCTCAGAACATACTATATATCAGATATACAGTATCTTTTAACAAAAATGACATAGGTTCGATCAAACTTTCCAATAGAATGATTTTGCCATTGCTTTCAATGATGACTAAATTTAACTTGCATTCACCACCAATGAATTAGCACAAATTATGGTTGCCAGATTGGCTGAAGATCAAATAATATTCTGTAGATTTACATTCAAATTTCCTATTGCAGTCCATTGTTTGTTTAAGTCAAACAGGAAGGAGACGGGAGAACAATATCTAAAGCACTATCTCCTGACTCAAAAGGGAATACAAAATATTAATGTTAATGACTAAAAATAATATATATATATATATATATATATATATATATATATATATATATACAGTTGCAAGAAAAAGTATGTGAAATTACGTGGAGTTTTGCATGAATTGGGCATAAAATGTGCTCTGAACGTCATCTAAGTCACAACAATAGAAGAACACAGTCTGCTGACATAATACTACACAAACATTAGATGTTGCCATGGTTTAATGCACATAACATGTAAACATTCACAGTGCAAGGAGGAAAAAGTATGTGAACCTTTGGACTTAATAACTGGTTGACCCTCTTTTGGCAGCAATTACCTCAACCAAACGTTTCCTGTAGTTGCAGATCAGACCTGCACAATGATCTGGAGTAATTTTGGACCACTCTCTTCACAAAACTGTTTCATTGTAGCAATATTCTTGGGATGTCTGGTGTGAATCGCTCTCTTAAGGTCATGCCACAGCATTTCAATCGGGTTGAGGTCAGGACTCTTGACTGGGCCACTCCAAAGGCGTATTCTGTGCTGTTGCAGCCATTGTTTTGTTGAATGACTTGTATGCTTTGGGTCATTGTCCTGTTGCATCACCCATCCTCTGCGGGGCTTCAGTTGGCGGACAGATGGCCATGTTGTTTTCCTGCAAAATGTCTTGATAAACTCTGGAATTCATTTTCCCATCAATAACAACAATCCGTCCAGACCTGAGGCAGCAAAGCAGCCCCAAACCATGATGCTCCCTCCGCCATGTTTTACAGTGGGGATGAGGTTTTGATGTTGGTGTGCTGTGCCTTTTTTCTCCACACATAGTGTTGTGTGTTCTTCCCAAACAACTCAGTCTTGGTTTCATCTGTCCACAGTATATTTTGCCAGTAGTGCCATCCAGGTGCTCTTTTGCAAACTTCAAACGTGCTGCAATATCTATCTTTTTGGACAGCAATGGCTTCCTCCGTGGTGTCCTCCACATGTACTCCATTCTTGTTTAATGTTTTCCTTATTGTAGATGTGTCAACAAAAATGTTAGCATGTGCCAGAGATTTTCTGTAGGTCTTTAGCTGACACTCTGGGATTCTTCTTTACCTCATGCAGCATTCTGCGCTGTGCTCTTGCAGTCCATTTTTACAGGACGACCACACCTAGGGAGAGTAGAACAACAGTGCTAAAACTTTCTCCATTTGTAGACAGTCTGTCTTACCGTGGACACATGAACATCAAGGCTTTTGGAGATACTTTTGGTAACCCTTTCCAGCTTCATGCAAGTCAACAATTCTTGATCGTAGGTCTTCTGAGAGCTCTTTTCTGCGAGGCATGGTTCACATCAGACAGTGCTTCTTGAAACCAGTAAACCAAAAACAGGTGTGTGTTTTTTATGGGCAGGACAGCTGTCAGCAAACACATCCAATATCATCACACTGATTGGAGTCAAGGTTGGCTCACTCCTGGCTCCAATTACTCTGGGAGAAGTCATTAAGCTAGGGCGTCACATATTTTTTTCCTCCCTGCAAATGTTTACATGTTATGTGCAATTAAACCATGACAACATCTAATGTTTGTGTAGTAATTATGTTCAACAGACTGTGTTCTTCTATTGTTGTGACTTAGATGACGTTCAGAGCACTTCTATGCCCAATTCATGCAAAATCCACGTAATCCCAAGGGGTTCAATATCTTTTTCTTGCACATTATATATATTTGCAAAAGTATTGGGATGGTCTTTACAGAACTTTAATGGCAACCCAGTCTTAGTCTGTAGGCTTCTATTGGAGTAGGCCTGCAGTTATAACAGCTTCAACTCACCAAAAGTTTTAAGGAGTGTGTCTATGAATATGGGACATCAGATTGCAGGCACTGATGCTGGATGAGAAGGCTGGCTGAGCTTCCGTCTACATCCCCAGAGGCCATTGACTCTACTGTGCTAGCCAGTCAAGTTCCTCCACCCCAAACTGTGTTTTACATCATCCATGTATTTATGGACTTTGCTTGTGCACTGGTGCGCAGTCATGTTTTACATCAAGAGCATCCCCAAAATGTTCCCACAAAGTTTGGGAGCATGAAATTATCCAAAATTTCTTGGTATGCTGACGCCTTAAGGCTTGGATGCAGCCCAACCACTGAAAAACAAACGCCATATTCCCTCTCCGCCAAACTTTACACTTGGAACAATGCAGTCCAGGCAAGTACACCGTTCTCACTGGCAACGCACCACCCAGATATGGGCATCAATTGCTAGAGAAGCTTGATTCGTACCAGAGCATGTCTCTGCTGCTCTTCAAGTGGCTAATCACTGCAAGGCCACAATTGATGGTGATTTAAGGCTTGGATTGCAGCTGCTCGGCCAGGTGTTTAGCATTTGATGTTGTGCTAAGGCCACATGATTGGAGGTGTTTTAGCTATTGACTCTGAGACAGTTGGTGACTTCTGTGCACTGTGCGCTTCAGCATGCGCTGACCCCGCTCTATCATTTTACATGGCCTACCACTTGGTGGCTGAGTTGCTGTTGTTCCCAGTTGCTTCCACTTTGTTATAATACCACTAACAGCTGACCATGGAATATTTAGTAGCAAGGGAATTTTACAGATGGACTTATTACACACATGGCAAACTATCACGGTACCACGCTTGAATTCACTGAGCTCCTGAGAGCGACCCATTCTTTCAAAAATGTTTGTAAAAGCAGCCTGAATGCCTGGGTGCTTGATTTTATACACCTGTGGCCTTGGAGTTGATGGGAACACCTGAATCCAATGATTTGGAGGGGTGTCCAAATACGTTTGGCAATATAGTGTATATAAATATATATATATATATATATATATATATATATATATATTTATATTTAGAGAGCGTGAGGTCGAGACAGAGGTATAGATGTACAAAACCATGATACTTTACAAACATACATACCTTCTAAAGTATAACTAAAGGCAAAACTTTTTTTGTAGTTTTCAATAGAGTGGAGAAGGATTGAAACACCTTGCAGTATTTACTGGTGTCTGTGCCCCCATTAGGGAGATCCACCCTCTCTATTTGTCCAGTTTACCATTATGATTGAGAGCAAAGGAAAATACCAAATTTTGGGTTGACACCAGAACAGTAATAGAAGAGAAATCTTCCAATGGGGACACTAGTTCTGGTGACCACGGTTTACCTAGTAACACCCCAGGTTTCCCTTATTTTGGCTGTTTTGGCTATGAGACAGTTTGAGACAGGAAGTAAAGGGAAATCTCCCCAATGGGACAGAGATGGCAAAAAAACATGGACAAGGGCTACAACCCTCCCTTACTCTATTCAAAACGAAAAAAAGTGTTGCCATTAGTGCTACTTTAAGTCATTTTTACCAGTTAGAAATCATGGTACAGTCCACAAGCTAACAAAAAAAAGTTGAAATTAAAATGAAAATAAAGTCTACTCTTTTTCATTTAGAAGTGTTTTTTTCCAGGTGTGCCTTAGAAAGGATTTCTAAATTTATATAACTGAGTGTGTTTTCTTTTTTTTCTCCTTTGTGTATATGATCACTATTTGTTGACTGTAGGTTTACATTTTTTATTTTACTTTTTTACCATCTGGTTTTTTTTTTTTTTTTGTGAAATAAAATAAAGATGAAGCTAAGGCATTTCTTGTTCTTCAGGAGCCATTTAATCCCCATTGCACACTTAAATATCAATAAAAACTACCTTATCAATGGATCTCTCTTATTTTCTCTCTGTTTGGTCTGTTAAATACACAATTGTTGTATCTGTTCAACAAACGTAAAAAAATTGTCGATTCTGTCAGAAATCCAGTAAGCTCCTAACTTTCAGTAGTGAGCCATCAATTTTGCATTGAATCGCAACTTATCATGAGTTCTCTCTGAGGACTACAGAACATCTTATCCCTATGTTTTGAAGATGAGGAGATGGGAGGTGTTCTGTAATTCTAACACACCTGTCTAAGGGTGACATTTGCTACTTTTCCATAGGTATAGTATGGTGAGTGAGGGTTGTCATTCTAGGACAGAGAGGGTGTTATTGGCAAGATAACTAGGTGAAAATACATTGAAAAAATAACAAATGCAGCTGCGACATCTAAGGACTAACCACTCCATGCCTCTCCACCTTGTCTAATCAAAAAACACTTTTAATTCGTTGAGAAAATGGAAAGCATTCTCTGAATGGCATCCATGTCAAGAGGTCAACGTCCTGTGTTCACAATACAGCAGGGCAGCCACTTGACATGGGACCCAGAAGCTAGTGGAGATCACAGGAATACTGGTGTGTACTTCAGTGATTTCCAGCTTCTAGAGGGATCCCACAAGTATGGTATATGCATAGTTACTTTGGTCCAAGCTAGCTCTATGTAACTATATGAAAAATGACATACCTGGAATTCTTCTTTAGAGTTTTACTAAACCCAGGACCCCACATTTACTACATCTGGTCTGCCACAGTATACAGAAATGCAATAATTTTAGTAGTAAATTGCTAAATACCTTTTCTCATCAGCAGTATATAGCAGTTTTGTGATTTCTATCAGTGTTCAGCAGAGCACTGGTTAAAGCTTGTAGGAGGAGTTTTTAGTCTCCCTTGATTATCCTATGAGGCTCCAGGACCCCTGGCACTCTGTATGGGCAGTGCTGATTGGCCCTGTGCTGATCACATGCACTCACCCAAGGAAAAAAAAAACTCTCCAGCAATACACACCAAACTGAGCATGATAGATTGTGGACAGTGGAAGAAGGGGAGGATCAGAGAAGACAGGATAAAACAGCCTTTTTACACAATGCAGAAGATTAACCCCTTAGGTTCCACAGTGAGTATAACAAGTATGCTTTACTACATATACAGACTGATTTTACTGTTGTGGGTTTCGTAAAACTTTAATCTTGTGCCTCTAAGCAATTAAAAATCTCTAGTGTAGCTTAGCCCTATAGAGTATAAACTAATTTGAATAAGCATATTAAGATGTGGACATATGATTATTTTATTTATGTATTACTGGTACTTATGCAGTTAATTTTTAGTGCTTTACATATATGTACATTCACATCAGTTCTTGCCCTCAAAGAGCTTACTCCCTAACTCACATTCATGCATACACATACTAAGGACAATTTCGACAGGAGCCAATTAACTTACCAGCATGTCTTTGGAGTGTGAGAGGAAACCCACGACAGGGAGAACATGCAAAGTCCAGGCAGGTACTGCCATGGTTGGGATTCGAACAGACAACCCTAGTGCAACTAGACGGAAGTGCTAACCACTTACCCACTGTGCTGCCCATAAGGTAAATGCAAAGGTAAAATAATTCACTGTGTTATGTACAAAGTAATTATACTGAATGAAGATAGAGTATGGCAATCATCTTCCTCTCTTCTACAGCTTGTCGTATCACAGAAGATTTTGTCTTCATTGAAACAAATAATAGACATCTCTCAAATGGAGGAGGTGCTGAGTGAGTGACCCGCTATACTCATTGTAAGAGAAGTTGCTGCAGCACTGCCCAGAAGATCACAGCTCAGACTGTGGGGTTGATTTACTAAAGGCAAATAGACTGTGCACTTTGCAAAGAACTCTGCAAGAGCAGTTGCTCCAGAGCTTAGAAAATGAGCAGAAGCTCTGCTGACATCTATCATCCAATCATATGTAAGTAAAAATGCAGTTTTTTTACTTTCCTTGCGTGTGATTGGGTAGTCTGTGCAAAGTGAAGCTTTACCTCATTTACTAAGCTCTGAAGCAACTGTACTTTCAGAGTGAAAAGTCTATATGCCTTTAGTAAATCAACCCTTGTATGTGCCACAGACTACTATTAACAATTTTAGCACCCCAATAGAGCTCTTCAGATGTTACTTGTCAACCACACTGGCCCAATTTAGCTTTTAAAATCAGTTTTGTCTTGAATTTAGCTTTAAAGGCTAAGTTCGCCTTTAGCCCTCATGCACACTGGACGTTTTGATAACGCTGGTAACATTAGCTATGTAAAGTTACGTTAACAACGTGAGTTTTGCAGCTTTTTTTAGCATTTTTGCATTAGCGTTTCGCAGCGATTTGCCGCAATTAGCGTAGTTTTTCCATGTTTGCATTTTTTTTAGCTTTTTTTTTCTGAAAAATAAAATTGGGGGGTCAAAAAAACATTCAAAAACACTGGTTTGCGGCGTTTTACCGAGTTTTTTCGCATTCGCATTTTTCACTTTTTTTTGTTCAAAAAACATCCAAAAATGGAGGTTTGCTGCATTTTTACAGCTAAAAAACTCCTCTAGAAACCCACTAGTCCTGGGTTTTTTTTCCAGCTAAAAAAACATCCCAACCAAAAAATGTTGCTTACAGTCTATGTGTGCATGGACACATAGGATAACATGCTGGGGGGTTTACTGGCTGTGGAAAAAAAACATCATCAAAGCTAAAAACAGCCGCTGTAAAAACGTCCAGTGAGAACTAATGAAAAGAAAAATTAATTCACATTTTTGCAGGAATAAAATGTGCATTTATTATTTTTTTGACAAGAGCCTGCAGAACATTGCACTCACGATCAGTGGGACACGGGTACAATGTCAGCATTCTGCCGACATAGCTCTGTGCCTGTACCTCTACATGCGTATAAAGTAAGTGAGCGCCCTCCAGTCTATCAATTCCCAGATTACAGCAGCTGTACACAAAAGGCACCATATAAGACCTCTAAAACAGATAAAAAAAACATAAACGTGCAGCGCTGTTAAAACCAATAAATAAATACATATATAAACATGTAAGAAAGTGCACACAAATATATAAAGTGACACTGTGCATCTATGTATGTGCCACTAGAATATGTGGCCAATATAAACGTGAAAGAAAACACTGTGTCTAAAACATAAGTCCAGAGTGCAGGCGTGAACGAGATCTAAAATGATCTTCTGGTATCCAAAAGACACAGATTGTGGATAAGGTGAGACAATTAAAGTGTAGATTGCGCACTCACCAGATACGCAACCTTTTTGCGCATTTGTATGATATAATAAGGACATCAGACTTCAGACATCTCATCAAAAAGGTCTGGTCAGATCTGGTCAATGCCTCCTTCGCTATCCCACGGTTTGCACTTAGCCTTCCCAAATGGTAACCACTCTGCGGATGTACCTGGCTCCCATAGGAGCTCAGAAAGAAACAACAGAGGAGGCCAGTAGTGCAATATTGCCTTAGGATGTTTATTCCACACAATGGGTATATATACAGCAAGAAAGCAAATAAAATAGATTACTGACCGATTGCAAGCTGCCGCCGGGACCCCTTGTGGTGCCGGCGGTATGGCGTCAAAACAGCTACAGCCCAAAACTGACGCGTTTCGAGCAAGTGCTCTTAGTCATAGGGTGTCCTGGCCATCTCTACATGAGCTGTCTATTTCAGAGCTGTAGGAAGTGTCAATAGACTATGAGTGTGCTGATCAGCATGCTTGCACTCCATTGAAACTACAAGTTTGGCTGCTGCTGTGGCAAACGGCATTGTAGTTCATTCATTTATCCAGATCCCTCTGAAAGGGGGGAAAGAAAACCCCTGCCTCTGTCACAGGAAAGGGGGGCTAAGGGGAAGAGCTGGATTTGCGTGAACATGTTACATGCTACAACCTAAATAGGGGTATAACGTAACATTTTCAAAAGGTGAACCTACAGTATCTTTTAATGCTGCTCTTTTCTGATTCCTAGTTTACATTTTTGAAGCCCTCTTCCTTTAATTTGCTTTACAGACGTTTTGTATATGATCACACTCAGGAACTGAAACTGAATATACTGTATGTATAACTTAGGCCTCATTCTTATATGACTTTTAAAGCGGTAGTAAA